CGGGGTTTCACCGTGTTAGCCAGGATGGTCTCAATCTCCTGAACTCGTGATCCGCTCACCTTGGCCCAAAGTGCTGGGATTACAGGCGTGAGTCACCACTCCCGATCAGTTTCCTCTTCTTTCAAATGGAAATATGGCCAGGCACAGTGGCTCACGCCTGTAATCCCAACACTTTGGGAGGCCAAGGCAGGCAGATCGCTTGAGACCAGGTATTCAAGGCCAGTTTGAGCAACATGGAAAAACCTTGTGTACACAAAAAATAAAAAAATTTGCAAAGCATGGTGGTGTACAACTGTAATCCCAGCTACCCGGGAGGCTGAGGTGGGATAATTGCTTTAGCCTGGTAAATTGAGGCTGCGGTGAGCCTTGATCATGCCACTGCACTCCTGAGGGTGAGACCCTGTATCAAAAATCAAACAAATAAAATGGAAATAATGCTACTTCAAAGGTTATTGTAAAGGTGGAAAGAAAGGTGGTTTATGCCTATAATCCCAGCACTTTGGGAGGTGAAGGTGGGAGAATCGTTTGAGCCCAGGAGATTTAGACCAGCGTGGGCAACACAGCAAAACCGTCTCCACAAAAAAAAAAATACAAAAATTAGCCCGGCATGGTTGTGCTTGGCTACTTGGGGGCTTGAGGCAGTAGGATCGCTTGAGCCCAGGAGTTGGAAGCTGCAGTGAGCCGTGATCGTACCACTGCACTCCAGCCTGGGAAACAAAGTAAGACTCTGTCTCAAAAAAAAAAAAAAAAACGAAAGAATATGTAAAAAATGTTTACCATATAATACACATACAAGTATCGGTTACCTTTCCTTTCCTCCTGTTTTCTGGAGAATTTTTACTTATTGTAGAAAATAAACCAATCCTTTCAGCATTTTCTTTTTGTCTTTGTTCTTAGGGAGGTCTTGCTCTGTTGCCCAGACTGGAGTGCAGTGGCATTATCATAGCTCACTGCAGCCTTGAATTCCTGGGTTCAAACGATCCTCCGCAGTGGCTGGGAATACAGGCCTTTAAACATGTCTGATGCAGCAGGACCGCTTGCTTGAACTTACAGTTGATTGGTTGTCTCCTGGTGAAGAACTACTTATAATGAAATTCTCAGGATTTTTTCTTCTTCAAAATAACTTGTTTTTAGCTTAAAATTTCCAATTTCTTTTGCATTCAAACTACTTACATGGGACCCAAGAAAGCGATCAACTGGCAAAAGTGGAGTAGGATAAAACCAGGAACTCTATGGTGAGTGAAATGCTAAAACTGCAATGAATTTTCACAACGAATAATCCAGTTCCCCTGAAGGTCTGTAAAGATGTACATAAAATCAAGAAAAACTGCCTGTCCTGTGGCTGCGCAAGTTATGACTAGGGTCGACAGGTTGAGGAGTAATTTTGAAGTTCCTCTCCAATCCACAGGACTCAATGTGTGTCAGAGCCTGGCTTTTCCATGATCACTTTCTGCAGAAAGATGCACTTGGAGGCATTCCCGACACCCCAAGAAATGCATGAAAACTTTAGCTGTAATCGTGGAAGAAATGATGTTTCAAGTCAAAGAATGAAAGTAGCATTTGACTTCTGAATGTATGGCTAGGCCCCAATTTGACCACCAGTTTCCTATACTGTCTTAACAGAGGTTTTTGATTTGCAATATCAACCAACTCTTTTTTTTTTTTTTTTTCTTTTTTTTGACAGGGTCTTGCTCTGTCACCCAAGCTGTATAAAAGTGTCAAGGCTTACTCCAGTGTTGACTCCTGGGCTCAAGCGATCTTATCACCTCTCTGCCTCCTGAGTAGCTGGGACTACAGGTGCGTGTCACCATGCCCGCTAATTTTTTTTTTTTTTTTTTTTTTTTTTTATATCTATCACACAGGCTGGAGTAAATTGGTGCAGTCATGCCCACTATTTTTTTTTTTTTTTTTTTTTTGGAGATAGAATCTCGCTCTGTCACACAGGCTGGAGTGCAATGGTGTGATCTTGGCTCACTGTAACCTCCGCTTCCCAGGTTCAAGCGATTCTACTGTCTCAGCCTCCTGAGTAGCTGGGATTACAGGCATGCGCCACCATGCCTGGCTAATTTTTGTATTTTTAGTTAGAGACAGGGTTTTGCCATGTTAGCCAGGCTGGTCTCAAACTCCTGGCCTCAGGTGATCCACTGACCTCAGCCTCCCAAAGTGTTGGGATTACAGGCATGAGCCACCGCACCTGGCCTAATTTTTGTATTTCTTGTAGAGAAAGTGTTTCACTATGTTGCCCAGGCTGGTCGCAAACTCCTGGGCTCAAGTTATCCACCAGCTTTGGCCTCCCAAAGTGCTGGGATTACAGGCATGAGACACCAGACAGGCCTATCAAGTCTTTTGATAGGAAAAACAAATGGCAATTGTACTTTAGTAAACTGGAGAATATTAACCCATTAATTACTTAAAAGAGTTCTGGAAATGTCTAAACTGATAGCAAATAATTATTTAATAATAATAGCACTAGATTCAACACTACACATTCTAGTAGTAACCTTAAGCTGATCCTGAAAAGTTAGAGAAAATAGGTCGGGTAGGGTGGCTTACGCCTGTAATCCAGCACTTTGGGAAGCCGAGGTGAGCAGATCACTTGAGGCCAGGAGTTCAAGACCAGCCTGGCCAACATGGTGAAACCCTGTCTCTAGCAAAAATACAAAAATTAGGTGATCATACTGGTGCACACCTGTGGTCCCAGCTAGGGAGGCTGAGGCATGAGAATCCCTTAAACGTGGGAGGTGGAGACTGCAGTGAACAGACAGCACACCGCTGTCCCGGACACACAGTGTCTCTGTCTCAAAAATAAAAAAGAGGCCAGTAATCCCAGCACTTTGGGAGGCCGAGACGGGCGGATCACGAGGTCAGGAGATCAAGACCATCCTGGCTAACACAGTGAAACCCCGTCTCTACTAAAAAATACAAAAAACTAGCCGGGCATGGTGGCGGGCGCCTGTAGTCCCAGCTACTCGGGAGGCTGAGGCAGGAGAATGGCGTGAACCCGGGAGGCAGAGCTTGCAGTGAGCTGAGATCCAGCCACTGCACTCCAGCCTGGGCAAGAGAGCCAGACTCCGCCTCAAAATAAATAAATAAATAAATAAATATAAATAAAAAAGAGAAAATAGAAAAATAAAATGTACTTGACTAAGAGAGTAAGGCTAAAAGCCACGCTTAGGAGATCAGTCTTTCCAGCCCCTGCAGGCTTTTTCACTCAATACCTTAAAGCGTAACGCCCCTTTGAAAATGTTGCCAGGAGAAGCAGGCATAACTTGTTCTGTCACTCAACCTGTCTGTTTCCAGTTACAGCATCATGATTATGCAAATAATCTTTTCTTGAAACTATGAAATCACATGGCTAAATGTAATTGTCAAGGTAGCAGTTTTCTCAGAATTTGAGAAGTAACTGTAGAGAAAATCCTCCACAATGTCTTTGTAGTCAGGTTTCCCTCATTCTTATTTCTCTTAATTCCAAAATAATGACTGGCACAATACAGCTTTCAAATATGTGAGAGAAGATATTACCCTTAAACCTTTGGACAGACAGCAATGGTATGACGCCATGTAGTTCACATCATAATACCCAAGTATAAAGAAGCAAGGAATCCTAAGAACCCAGTTTTAAGCCCTTATAAAACTGCTGTCCAGAAACTAAGACAAAAGTCTCCTATTTAAAACTATTTTAATGTTTCATCACTATTATATTATTAAACGGGATTAAGATTCTTACCTGATTTTTTTTTTTTTTTTTTAATTGAGACTGGAGTGCAGTGGCGGGATCTTGGCTTACTGAAACCTCTGCCTTCCAGGTTCAAGTGATTCTCCTGCCTCAGCCTCCAGAGTAGCTGGGACTACAGGCGCATGCCTTGATGCCCGCTAAGTTTTGTATTTTTAGTAGAGACCAGGTTTCACCATGTTGCTCAGGCTGGTTCCAAAGAACTGATTTTCAAGTGATCCGCCCGCCTCGGCCTTCCAAAGTGCTGGGATTCAGGTGTGAATCCCCCCACCAGGACTCATTTTGTTTTTAGTACAGTATTATATTCAAATTTAAAACCAGAGATTCTCAAAGATGACACTTAACTTTAAAAGATAAAAAATACTCCAAAGCAGGCTGGGTGCGTGGCTTTACGCCTGTAATACTAGCACTTTGGGAGGCCAAGGCCAGAGGATCACTTGAGGTCAGGAGTTCGAGACCAGCCTGGCCAACACAGTGAAACCCTGTCTCTACTAAAAATACAAAAATTAGCCAAGCGTGGTGGTGCAGGTCTGTAATTCTAGTTACTCTGGAGGCTGAGGCAGGAGAATAGCTTGAACCCGGAAGGTGGAGATTGCAGTGAGCTGAGATCGTGGCATTGCACTCCAGCCTGGGTGACAAGAGCTAGACTCCGTCTCAAAAAAAAGAAGTTCCCATAATTTCTAAAAGCAAAGAAAGTTTCCATATAGAATTAAGAGAAAAATGTTAAGACCCAGACTCAGGGTTGGATGAAATAGCATGAGGCAACAGAACACAGGAGTTAAGAGCTTCCGCGTGATTCCCAGCTCAACCTGGAGCAAATGACTTATTTCTCAGAGCCTCAGTTTGCTTACCTGTGAAGTAGGAATAATGATAATACCTACCTCCTAGCTCATCAAATTGTTCCAAAAATTAAATACAACAAAAGGCCTAACGAATTTCCTCATAAGGGCTCAATAAATCGTATTATTGCAACCATTTCACCTGATACTTGAGTATGAAGCGCCTACTAAAAACAACCACAGGACCCCTACGGCGAGCCAGGAATTTTTAGATATTTTGCTCCAAGTTAATGCTCAGTGAAATCAGTTCAGTCAGTGAAATCAGTTCAATCAGTGGCCAGACACCGTGCGGCTGACACACCCTATCCTCCGACCCTGAGGTCAGGGGTCCCCAGAGCCCAGGGTCGCTTCCAAGGCTCTGCGAGGCGGAGGTGAGGCCCGGGCTGGTCTGGTTCGGCCACCGTTGTTATGGCAACCGCCAAGAGGTTGGCTTCATCTCTTTGGGCTAAACTGAAAGTCTGCACGGGGGGGCCAATCGAAGGGCCCCGAGGTGGTCAGCATAGGCCCCTCGGCGACTTCCCAGGTCGCAATCTCCAGGAAAACCACCGCAGGCTCAGCGGAGCTAGCCGCCGAGCTGCGCTCCCCGGGACCTTCCGGCGGTTGCGCCCTTTAATCCCGGAAGTGGGCAGGAGAGGAAGCGGCTGGTGATGCTGGAACAAACATGGCCGCTCTGGCGCCCGTCGGGTCCTCCGCCTCCCGCTGTCCTAGGCTGGCCGCGGGCCTCCGGCTGCTCCCGATGCTGGCTTTGCTGCAGTTGCTGGCCGAGCCTGGCCTGGGCCGCGTCCATCACCTGGCACTCAAGGTAAAGCCTGGCAAGGCCGGGCCGGGGGGCGGAGGCCGAGGCCACTCCCCCGGGTTTTAGGGCAACTTTGGCCCATTGGGGACCTCTGAGCCACTCGACCGTCTCTTTGTCCCTGGCCGCGGCCTTTCAAACTGACAGGTGGCGGGGTCTGTGGGGAAGGCGGGTCTGGGCGGCGCTGGGGTCCTGAGGCTGAGCGGCAGGGGCGGGAAGACACGAACTGAGGGAGGGGAAGGGGCTGAACTGTGTCGGAGCCCCCACGGACTCGGCAGGCTGCTCTTAAATCCCTGCTGGGTTGCCTGAATTCCTCACTCATGGAAGCCCGCTCGCCCTTCTCCTTTCTCCCCTCCTGCTTTTATGCTGGCTTTCCTTGTCCGCGGTCTCCGCTCTTCTGTGTCCTTGTACTGTACTGGCGGTTTGAAGGTATTTGGAACCTTAGCCTCAGTTTCCCATTTTGGTTTAGGGCGCTCTCTGGAGCAAGACTCTTCGGAAGGAATTTCAAATCTTGCTTAAAACACGTGACTGAGAATTTAAAGCCAGCATTATAATGTGTTTCTAATCAAAGGCCCTGCTTTTTCTTCTTCTATCCCGTCATTGTCTAGGGAAGAGAGATTTTAGATAAACCTAGAATGATCCCCTGGATCTTGCTTTATAACTAGCAGAGAAAAGACCTCTAAGGCTGAAACGCACCCTAAGGTGGTTCAGCAGGTTACTATATCTGGGAAATTGTCCAGGCGCCGTGGGTCATGCCTGTAATCCCAACATTGGGAGGCCTATGCAGGAGGATTATTTGAGCCCAGGAGTTCGAGACCAGCCTAGTCAACATGGTAAGGACCCCCTCCCCAAACCTGTCTCTACAAAAAATTAAAAATTAACCAGGTGTGGTGGCACACGCCTGCAGCTTCTGGGGAGGCTGAGGCAGGAGGATCACTTGAGCCTAGGAGGTTGAGACTGCAGTGAGCCGTGATTACTCATTGCACTCCAGCCTGAGCCACGGAGCAAGACCCTCTCTCAAAAGACATAGAGAAACAGAAAATTAAGAGACGTAGAAAAGTAAATTGTTACGACCCAAACTCTTGTACATTATTTTTATACCATACAGTCTTCTAAGAAGTGGAACTGTAGGCCAGGCACCATGGCTCACGCCGGTAATCCCAGCACTTTGGTAGGCTGAGGCGGGCAAATCACAAGGTCAGGAGATCGAGACCATCCTGGCTAACACGGTGAAACCCTGTCTCTACTAAAAAAAAAAAAAAAAAAAAAAATTAGCTGGGCTTGGTGGTGGGCGCCTGTAGTCCCAGCTACTCGGGAGGCTGAGGCAGGAGAATGGCGTGAACCCGGGAGGAGGCGCTTGCAATGAGCCTAGATCCTGCTACTGTACTCCAGCCTGGGCAACAGAATGAGACTCTGTCTCAAAAAAAAGAAAAAAAGAAGTGAAACTATAGAAAGTTTGTCTTGTAAAAACACATTGTTTTAGCAAACTATGAAGCATTATATTTTGTTAATGTAGAATTTAACGAATACAGAATGAAATTAAAAACCTGACATGACTGGGCGCGGTGGCTCAGGCCTGTAATCCCAGCACTTTGGGAGGCTGAGGTGGGCGGATCACCCGAGGTCAGGAGTTTGAGACCAGCCTGGCCAACATGACGAAACCTGTCTCTACTAAAAATAGAAATATTAGATGGGTATAGTGGCACATGCCCGTAGTCCCAGTTGCTACTTGGGAGGCTGAGACAGGATAATTGCTTGAACCCGGGAGACTGAGATTGCAGTGAGCAGAGATTGTTGTGCCATTGCACTCCAGTCTGGGCGAAAGAAGGAGACTCTGTGTCAAGAAAATAAATAAATAAAAGCCTGAATAGATCCATACAACCATGCTTTTTGGTAACAACTTTTGTCGTTTGTAAATAAAAATTATCCTGATTAAAATGGTTCAATCACAGGGGTGAGGGTGGGGTAAGTGAATTTTGGCTCTTTTTGAGAATCTATTGAGAGCTATAGAACCTCTCTCCAGAAAAGTGCATGTAGAAATGTAGACAAAATTTGGCCAGGCGCGGTGGCTCATGCCTGTAATCCCAGTACTTTCAGAGGCCGAGGTGGGTGGATCACTTGAGGTCAGGAGTTCGAGACCAGCCTGGCCAACATTGTGAAACCACGTCTCTACTAAAAATACAAAATTAACTGGGCGTGGTGGCGGGTGCCTGTAATCCCAGCTACTTGGGGGGCTGAGGCAGGAGAATCGCTTGAACCCAGAGGAGGAAGTTGCAGTGAGCCGAGATTGCGTCCCCGTACTCCAGCCTGGGTGACAGAGCAAGACTCCATCTCAAAAAAATAAATAAACAAAATAAAATAGACATCCTAAGTCAGGGGTGTCCAATCTTTTGGCTTCCCAGGGCCACATTGGAAGATGAAAAATTGTTTTGGGTCACATATAAAATAGACTAACAGTAACCATAGCTGATAAGCTTAAAAAAATTATGAAATCTCATAATGTTTTAAGAAAGTTCACAAATTTGTCCGGGCACAATGGCTCACACCTGTAATCCCAGCACTTTGGGAGGCCGAGGTGGGCGGATTACTAGGTCAAGAGATCGAGACCATCCTGGCTAACACGGTGAAACGCCGTCTCTACTAAAAATACAAAAAATTAGCTGGGCGTGGTGACAGGCCCCCGTAGTCCCAGCTACTCGGGAGGCTGAGGCAGGAGAATGGCGTGAACTCGGGAGGCGGAGCTTCCAGTGAGCTGAGATCGTGCCACTGCACTCCAGCCTGGGCGACAGAGCGAGACTCCTTCTCAAAAAAAAAAAGTTCACAAATTTGTGTTGGGCCACATTCAAAGCTGTCCTGGGCCGCAGGCATCCTGGGCAAGCTTGTTCTGAGTTCTTGCCCAAGGAAATGGAAATCATTTGAAGAGAGCCTGTCAGAGCAGCAACTTTAGATTGTCTCTTTTGCTTGAGACTGAGTGAAATAGGATACTTGATCAGATTAGAGACCCATAATGGCAAGGATAACATGAAGAGGTCACTGAGCACCAGGTATATGTATTGATCTCTTAAAACCTGGCTGGTGCTGGTGGCTCACGTCTGTAATCCCAGCACTTAGGGTGGCTCATTTGAGGCCAAGATTTGGAGGCTGCAGTGAGCTATTATGGCGACACTACACTGCCGCCTGGGTGACAGGAAAGACCCCATCTCAACAACAGCAACAAAATTAGCCAGACGTGGTGGTGCATACCTATAGTCGCAGCTACTAGAGAGGCTGAGGTGGCAGGATCCCTTGAGCCCAGGAGTCAGAAGCTGTAGTGAGCTATAATGGTGTCACTGTATTCCAGCCTGGGGGACAGAGTGAAACCCTAGTTCTTTTTTTTTTTTTTTTTGAGACAGAGTCTTGCTCTGTCGCCCGGGCTGGAGTGCAGTGGCCGGATTTCAGCTCACTGCAAGCTCCGCCTCCCGGGTTTACGCCATTCTCCTGCCTCAGCCTCCCGAGTAGCCGGGACTACAGGCGCCCGCCACCTCGCCCGGCTAGTTTTTTTTTTGTGTGTGTTTTTAGTAGAGACGGGGTTTCACCGTGTTAGCCAGGATGGTCTCGATCTCCTGACCTCGTGATCCGCCCGTCTCGGCCTCCCAAAGTGCTGGGATTACAGGCTTGAGCCACCGCGCCCGGCCCCTAGTTCTTAAAAAAAAAAAAAAGACAAAGCAAAACAAACTTTTTATTGTGGAGAATTTCCAATGTGCTAAAGTAGATAGAATAGTATGATGAACTCCCATTTGCCTGTCACCCTCGATAACCATCAACACATGGCTAATTCTGCCTCATCCCCACATACATCAATTTCTTGTTCTTATTTTTTATTATTTTTAAAATTAGAAATGAGTCCTCTTACATTTTTATTCTTACTCCATGTCACATTTTCCACCATTCTTCTGGCTTTCTCAGTCTTCTCACCTTCCATCTCTTTTGACCTTTCTCTATATTCCTTGCCTTTTTATTTATTATTATTGTTATTATTATTATTATTATTATTTTTTTTGAGATGGAGTTTTGCTCTTGTCACCCAGGCTGGAGTGCAATGGTGCGATCTCTGCTCACAGCAACCTCCGTCTCCCGGGTTCAAGCAATTCTTCTGCCTCAGCCTCCCAAGTAGCTGGGATTATAGGCATGCGCCATCACGTCTGGCTAATTTTTGTATTTTTAGTAGAGAGAGGGTTTTGCCGTGTTGATCAGGCTAGTCTCGATCTCCTAACCTCAGGTGATCCACCTGCCTTAACCTCCCAAAGTGCCGGGATTACAGGCGTGGGCCACCGCTCCTGGCTGTTTATTATTTTTGTTTATTTTTTTAAAGACCTGTCAGCAGGAAATACTCCTTGCCTTTTAAGAACAACTTTATTGAGGTATAATTTACGTACCATAAGATCACCCATTTTAACTGTATAACGCAATGATTGTTAGAAAGTTTACTGAGTTGTACAGCTATGACCACATTCTAGCCAAAGAACGTTTCTGTCACCCCATAAGATCCCTTATGTTGGTTTAGAATCAATTCCTATTCCCACCACTAGTCCCAGGAAGCCACTAATTACTTTCTGTCTCTATTAACCTGCCATTTCTGGATGTTTCATGTAAGTGGAATCACAGGATAGGTAGGCTTTTTTTCTGAGACGGAGTCTCAGACTGTTGCCCAGGCTGGAGTGCAATGGCGTTATCTTGGCTCACTGCAACCTCTACCTCCCAGGTTCAAGCTGTTCTCCTGCCTCAGCCTCCCCAGTAGCTGGGATTACAGGCACCCGCCACCACGCTCAGCTAATTTGTGTATTTTTAGTAGAGACAGGATTTTGCTGTGTCGGCCAGGCTGGTCTCGAATTCCTGGCCTCAAGCAGTCTGCCCGCCTCAGCCTCCCAAAGTTCAGGGATTACTGGTGTGAGCCACTGCGCCCAGCCGATAGGTAGGCTTTTGTGCCCATCTTTCTTTCTTTCTTTTTTGAGCTTCATTCATTTTGTACC